TTTTTCCGCAAACCCCTTTCCCAGTTCCATCGAAATTCTGAAAAACCTAAAGGGGTTCAGCCTCTGGAAATTTTTTTAAAATCCGACCTCCAAATCTCCAAGCAAAATTCTTGATCATTTTCCCCAACCACACAACTGACACATCTCACTGCCCCACCTTCTTGTTGCAACATTCATTACCTATCTTTCACCCCATTGGAAATTGGGAAACCACACTTTCATACATTTCCCTCTGCTTCCATGGAAAATGTTCTCGTTCCACAAATCCTCGGTGCACTACTTTTCCCCTCCTTGTCATTCAAGGGTTTTTACCTCATCTTTCATAGACCCACTGCTGAGCTACCCCAAAATTTGAAGACATTCACTTCCTCCAACCCCTTCCTTCAAATCTGATACCCAGTTTTACATTACCTAAATTTTATCCTCTCACCTTCTCTTTCCTAAGTTTCCTGACTTGACATACTTTTTTTAAATTGCTTGGACTTGAACACTCTGACCACATGCATACCTAAGTAATGTTTTTTTTTTTTCCCCTATTGTTTTTTAAAATATACAACACTACTTAAAATATTTAACAATTACCAAAATATTATAAATGGTCAAAGGTGACAAATACAATACAAAGATGGTTGACACAAACCCACTACCATTATACAAGTTGCTCCAACCTACTTAGGAACAGAACTTCGCCGTTAACCGAGGAGAGACTGTATTCACTCATTTTTTCTTTTACGTACCCTAAAAATTTGTCCACCAACCCTACAACTTCTCTCAAAAAAATTAAATAAAATAAAATTCTGGATATGCCACAATTAACCCTTCAGGGTTAACTACGTACTAGTATGGCTTGCGCACCAGGGTTATTGATGTACTAGTGCGCCTAAATTCTAGCGCCTTCAAATCTGAGAGAAAGCTGGTAGGCCTACATATGAAAGAATGGGTCTGTGGTCAGTGTGCACAGCATAAAAAAAATCCTGCAGCATACAGTGCGAAATGATAAAAAAAATTGTTTTTTATGGTTTAAAAACAGTGACTTTGCACTGTATGTTTGTATGGTATTTATGGTTGTATTCTAGTTTTCCTGGTTTCATTTCATAGAATGGAAGACACATTACAGAATTGAGATGATTTTGATTGGTTTCACAATGAAAAGTACCTTGAAAATTGAGCTCGAAGTAGCAGAAATGTTTGATTTTTGCCAAATTCAAAAGTAAACAAATCATGCCACACGTCCAATACACGTCAGCTGGCGAGTCTAATATTCTTTCACGAGATGATATTTATACCATTTCTACACTAATGCAGTAGTCTGCACACCAGTAAATCTTCTATTTTTTTTTTTTTTTCGAGGATAAAAATTCAGTGGAAAGCAAAAGAAATGTATAGAGGGGCCTGGGGATGTGACTAATGAACAGAGGAAATGTTATTTTAGTGCCAGGAATGTCTGTTTATTCTGGACCCTATTTGGAAATTGGTATCTTTTGAAATTTGTGTGAAATTGGCAAAATTGTTAAATTGACCACTTTATTGGATAGTTCAAATTGGTAAATGGGTGGTTTCTTGTACTCATTTGATAGGAAAAAAAATAATAATGGAGTTCTAGCAAAATAGTTATGATTTTTGTCGACTAGTACACTGGAATTGGCCGAAAATAGGGCTCGGTCGGCGAAATCACCAATGTGTAAACATCGTCGATACCGCTAACTTTGCAAGAGCATAATTCCAAAAGTTTTTCCATCAAATTTCATACTTTGGGTATCATTATGATCGGGAAAAAGATTCTCAAAAACCTTCCCAAAAGTAAATTTTTTTTTTTTTTCCCCAAAAAAATTTTTGATCTTCAAAAAATTTTTGGGAAGGACCCCAAACCCTGAAAGGGTTTAAGAGGCATAGAAATGTCTTACTCCCCTCCCACTTTATAGCATAGTATTTTAAAAAGAGTTCCGAATTTCACTACCTGGTCTTCCTGGTAAACCAGGCTATTGCTTTTTGGAGGCCGCTGCCCCACTTGTCCATCACAGCCGGGTTTTGTTTTTGGCACCTGTGAAGATACTTTTTTCCAGTTTCCTCTTAAAGGGTTTTCATTTTTTCCATAGTGTTTGATATATTTTTGGGAAATGTTAACCCCTTGCCCCCCCCTAAACCCCTTTTTTGGGATGACCCCTACCTTTTGTTCTTTATGCTTCATACAGTGAGCATCAATCCTTCCTTTTCAAGGGGGTTTCCTTGATGGTAAAGAGCTTTTGGTCTGAGGAATACCCCCTGTCGGTTTTCTTCCTCAGACCGACCTAATTTTTAAAACCCCCCTTCCCCCCCCCCTATCCCATCCTCCCCTTTTTTCCATTCCTCCTCCTCCTCCCCACCCCCCCCCTTTTCCCCTTTCCTCTTTTTTGGCCTTTGGGATTTCTCCCACGGGCACTAGTTCCTAGGTAGGGGGAAAGGGCCCGGGTCCCCTCCCATTTCCCTTGAGTTCTTGGGGGGGCGAAGTTTGCCGGGAAACGGATTGCCGGGGATGTCCCGATCCCCTCCGGGATCCCGGATAGCTTTTGGGGGTCTTTCGGGGGACGGGGTATCTCCCGGAACCACCTTTCGGTTCCGGGGGGGGCCGAAGGGGGTATGCTTGTGGCTTCCCCGCCCTCTTTTCCACCAAGGTAGCTCGGGAGATTGAGGGTTCTATCCCGGGTTTTCTGGTTTACTGGGATGAAGGGTGGGGAGGGCCCCCGGGGGGGCCATGCTGCATCTGCGCTACTACGGGGTTGAGGGCCTCTTGGGCCGAGGGAATTTCCCTCTTTCATTCCTCCTGGAACTAATTCCCCGCTCCCCCCGTTTTTTTTTTTTTTTTTTTTTTTTTTTTTTTTTTTTTTTTTTTCTTAAAAACAAAAAGCAAAGGGGTAACCAACCCGGCACCCTAGTCCATGAGCCCACACCCCCAGGCCCCTTTTTGATACCGCACCCCATTCTGACCCGCCTTTTTAATCACTCTTCGACACTCCCCCGAGCCCCGTACCTCTGCTGGGGCTTTTCCTCACCCATTTTAAAGGACCGGGGGGTTCGACTGCTCCTTTGATTTCGAACTCCGCTCTCCTTTGACGCTTCCGGCTTCTCCCTCTACGGTCGGGAATTTCAATCGCCCCGCCCCTTTCCACGCCGGACCAACCCGCCTATCCTAAAACGCCAACGCAATCTCCTGATGCTCCTTCGTTACCTCCCATTCTACTTGGGAAAAAACAGAACGTCAAGCATTTTCCCTCCCCCCCAACCCCAGTTTTGGGCCACAAATGGACTAAATTCTTTTAAAACCGACTTTTGCCTACCTTTCTGACCAATATTGGGAAAGCTCCCCTGGCTGTTGGTAAGAATTTCATTTTTAGCTCTCGACGGTATGCCATCGACTGTCCCAAATGCTACCCAAGCCATGACTTTCTCTCCTTTCGAATATCGATATACTCCTATCACAAATTTAAAAAACTTTCCTCAAACTTGTAGTGAATTTCATTCTGCCCCAACCATAGTCCAACGAAATTTTCCCGTCATTTGGGAAAGACATTTTTGAAAAGCGGAACTCCAGGATCTCCCAATCCTAAAGTAGACACTTAAGTCCTTCCTG